CTGGTAAGAGTTTTCAAGCCCTCACGCCAGGTTTCAGTTTGACCGCCCTTGATTTTTTTCCAACTGTTACCTGCCTCGGCAAACATCGCTCGCCGTGGCAATCTATCTGGTGACATGCGTAGCACATGTCCCAAACAGCGCAGGTGAATTGAAGAGGATGATTTGCTTTAGTGCAATCAGGGCACAGGGCTGCTCGTTCCAACCAATAGAACTTGGTCCACAAAATTTTGTGAGTTGACAAATTAAAAAAACAAGATCGTGCTCGTAAGTTTTCTGTTCTATTCTACGGACAATTTAGTGGTTATGAAGTGGATTTCATTTCGCCTGTTCGCCGAGCTTGACAATACGTTTGCAAACGTTTCAGCAGTATCAGCCGAAATAACATCATCAGTGCTTGTGAATTGGCCACTTCACAAGCACTGATGAAACGTTTGCAAGCAAGTTGCCAAGCTGGGCAAACCGGGCCAAATGGAATTGAGTTCACCCGAACTAGGAGAACCGAATTTTGGTACTTTATCAACGATTATAAAGTGAACCACAAGTTCGGTTTTGACGGTAATAAACAATTGTACTTCCCACTGCGCTCACTATTCCAAGCCTGGATTGGGAATAATTAAGCCTTCATGTCTACACATAACCAAATTTATGTTTATCATTAATGTTTTGTCAAATCAGAGAGGAGTGGTATGTATGGAAAAGATTATGGGCTTCTGTTGCGTCAAACCATGCGCCTAAACTTCGCGGGGTTATTCCAGCTTTATTTAAAGAACAATAGTCGTGGAACTTTTACTCTACCTGGAGGGTAACGCGTTGCGGATCGTCACTCGGGATGAACTCCCAATGGTCCAAGAATAAGTTTACCAAAGTCTCTTTGCTTCGTTAAACTCTTACAACTGAACACATTTTTCTGTCGACTTACAAGAAAACGAGGCGTAGTCAAAGTGTTGTAAGGTACTACTCACATTTATGAGTAGTTCGCAAAAGGATGCGACTGGCGGCTTTCTTTAACGGTCAACAATAAATAAGACCTGTGGGTGCGAATTGCTGTGGTTCAGTATGGAAAACAAGAATGTACATATACTTTAATTTAAAATAAAAATCTGTTATCAAATTACTCAAAGACGACTGAAGATAAATACTTCAAACATTTATTTATGACCTGATACCTGGAACACAGTAACTTCCGTATGGAATAACTAACCTCTATCGGGTGATTCTCATAGCATACAATACAAAAGAAAGAAAGTGAATAGGTTGGAAGCGATGTACAGTTATATTAATCTTGTCGGGCAGCTTGCCCAGGACTGAGACGCATTTAAGGCAGACGTGATGTTTCTTGAAACTGAAAGGTAGCGTATACTGCACCAGTATACAGTCAGTTCTACTTTACGGTTGTGAGACTCTTAATCTACGCGTGGAAGATATTCATCATCTGGAAGTCTTCGATTGCCGATGTTTACGTAGTTTGGTGCATGTTGGATGGAACGAGGATGTAAGTAACTCTGAGACAAGTCGGCACGCATTTCGTAATGATTTGGTGGAAAATTCGGCACACACAATTCAAATTTACCGACTTAGCTGGTTAGGAGCTGTTGCTACTCATGCTCAGCTGTCGTCCACCGCATCGTGCCTAATTCGCCGTGGCAGCTCCAGGTTGGAAGAAGCGACGTGGATGTCAACAAATGACGTGGCAAACGAAGCATGAAGAAATACATAGAGCGATTAGGTAGATTAGGTTGCTACCGTCTCCCACCTTGGCTGGTTGGAGACATTGAAGGATATGGCGTTCTTGATTTCATTTCTTATCCAGTCAGAATTCTTGAAATGGTATGGTTTTGCGCTCTGTGTATTGATCATAAGGGTTTACTTTCCTTGCCTTCCCCCATTTGGGCCTAAACCCTATTCATCTTGCACTTTCTCACTCACTTTCCCTACACTGAACGCATGACAGTGATCAGCGAAGCTAACTTCTCTGTATGCCGCTGTAAGAAGATAATGATGATATTGGGCAACATCAGCAGATTCATCAGATCCATTGAGTCAAGTGATGCGTGATTCCGCGTTCTGAAAGATAGGTCACAAGCCTACATTTGACCGCCGGATATCGATCGTATCAGAAGGATAATCTACCGTTGGATAAACGAACTTCAAGTTTATTGTATTACACTCAGGCTTGTGTAAAGCCAGTAGGTACGAAAAAGTAGGGGTGTGATGTTGATTTACGACGAATTGTTTGACTAATCAGCAGAAGCAGTCGCTCAACAGAAGCATTTAAGACGTAACAATAGATAAAGCTTGATCTATCCTTCCAGAGTTGCATCAGAATTTCTGTTTGTAGTTGTTTATAACAAACAAACATTATAGTTTTAGCTTAACCATCTCGGGCATTCATTTGGTGTGTGCGTGTGTCTGTTTGCCCCGCATAAACAATCCCAGTCTACTGCTACACCTTCATTGTTCTGTAAACGAGGACCGATTTGTACAAAATGACTTACTGAAACTTCGAATTTCAATGCGCCTGTGTTGTTGATGTATTCGTCCGCAAGGATAGTGTACCCGTTATCCAGTACCGAGTACGAGGCATTGATGATTGGCGCGAACAGACCCGTCCCCCGGACGTCACTGATGTTGTATATCCACGGATTTTCGGCAGTTCCAAGTTGAGAAACGTGCGTGTTCTGAATTGAGTGAGAAGACATAATGAAAAATGTATGGAACATTCCGTTAGGCTTTGATGTAGTTGCCAATGAAAACCTATGCATTCCCCTGCTGATCTCATCGGTCCACAGGGCTGATCGTTCCAGTGCACGAATCGCCGGATTATTCACTCATCCGTGCACCCTGTGCTAAACAGACAGGGTGTTTGTTTAGGCATTCGTGCAGTGCTTTCTCATGGAGGGAGGGGATTAGATTACAGACTGATAAGTAGATATCTAAAATGAATTCCATCTAATATGTCGAGAAGAATGCGGAGATAGATGAAGACAATTCTGTGCTGTGGCAGTCAGGCAAAAGAATGCGACAGTCTCAATTGGTTTCCACCTCACGTGAATATGGCAGAGACACGCGGCTGTTCTTATCGGGAATGATTGCCTGGACGAATATGAATGGGTTTAGACGTATACTTAAGCAGAAATTAGTAGTATATGATGTCTTGAAACAAAAATACACAGTTACCTTCCACCTGGAGGAGCTGACATCTTCCAAGATATATGATGACAGTGGTGATACGCGTTTACGATGCTACTAATTCTGTCATCCGCATCCGCATTCAATACTTCCTTGGAAAGTTTTTCCAACCATCCAAATACTACTTATTATGAAAATATTCT